GTAGTAGTAGTAGTAGTAGTAGTAGTAGTAGTAGTAGTAGTAGTAGTAGTAGTAGTAGTAGTAGTAGTAGTAGTAGTAGTAGTAGTAGTAGTAGTAGTAGTAGTAGTAGTAGTAGTAGTAGTAGTAGTAGTAGTAGTAGTAGTAGTAGTAGTAGTAGTAGTAGTAGTAGTAGTAGTAGTAGTAGTAGTAGTAGTAGTAGTAGTAGTAGTAGTAGTAGTAGTAGTAGTAGTAGTAGTAGTAGTAGTAGTAGTAGTAGTAGTAGTAGTAGTAGTAGTAGTAGTAGTAGTAGTAGTAGTAGTAGTAGTAGTAGTAGTAGTAGTAGTAGTAGTAGTAGTAGTAGTAGTAGTAGTAGTAGTAGTAGTAGTAGTAGTAGTAGTAGTAGTAGTAGTAGTAGTAGTAGTAGTAGTAGTAGTAGTAGTAGTAGTAGTAGTAGTAGTAGTAGTAGTAGTAGTAGTAGTAGTAGTAGTAGTAGTAGTAGTAGTAGTAGTAGTAGTAGTAGTAGTAGTAGTAGTAGTAGTAGTAGTAGTAGTAGTAGTAGTAGTAGTAGTAGTAGTAGTAGTAGTAGTAGTAGTAGTAGTAGTAGTAGTAGTAGTAGTAGTAGTAGTAGTAGTAGTAGTAGTAGTAGTAGTAGTAGTAGTAGTAGTAGTAGTAGTAGTAGTAGTAGTAGTAGTAGTAGTAGTAGTAGTAGTAGTAGTAGTAGTAGTAGTAGTAGTAGTAGTAGTAGTAGTAGTAGTAGTAGTAGTAGTAGTAGTAGTAGTAGTAGTAGTAGTAGTAGTAGTAGTAGTAGTAGTAGTAGTAGTAGTAGTAGTAGTAGTAGTAGTAGTAGTAGTAGTAGTAGTAGTAGTAGTAGTAGTAGTAGTAGTAGTAGTAGTAGTAGTAGTAGTAGTAGTAGTAGTAGTAGTAGTAGTAGTAGTAGTAGTAGTAGTAGTAGTAGTAGTAGTAGTAGTAGTAGTAGTAGTAGTAGTAGTAGTAGTAGTAGTAGTAGTAGTAGTAGTAGTAGTAGTAGTAGTAGTAGTAGTAGTAGTAGTAGTAGTAGTAGTAGTAGTAGTAGTAGTAGTAGTAGTAGTAGTAGTAGTAGTAGTAGTAGTAGTAGTAGTAGTAGTAGTAGTAGTAGTAGTAGTAGTAGTAGTAGTAGTAGTAGTAGTAGTAGTAGTAGTAGTAGTAGTAGTAGTAGTAGTAGTAGTAGTAGTAGTAGTAGTAGTAGTAGTAGTAGTAGTAGTAGTAGTAGTAGTAGTAGTAGTAGTAGTAGTAGTAGTAGTAGTAGTAGTAGTAGTAGTAGTAGTAGTAGTAGTAGTAGTAGTAGTAGTAGTAGTAGTAGTAGTAGTAGTAGTAGTAGTAGTAGTAGTAGTAGTAGTAGTAGTAGTAGTAGTAGTAGTAGTAGTAGTAGTAGTAGTAGTAGTAGTAGTAGTAGTAGTAGTAGTAGTAGTAGTAGTAGTAGTAGTAGTAGTAGTAGTAACAAGGCCTCTTTTACGGGCAAATGACGCATATGCGTAAACCAAAAGCAACAAGAAACTCAATAAACAATGTCCAACAAAAGAATCTGCTGACTGCAAAAAAGGACACAAGGTAAAACTCAAGTCCAATAGATCGCGTATGGTACGTATGTGTGAACAAACCAAAAGCCGATTGAGTGGTGAATGTGGAATGTGTAAGTTGAAAACTCGAGTCTGATAAATAGCCTATTGGGGGTATATGTGTAAAAACATCATAAACCAATAGGGTGGTGGATGTATAATTTGTCTGCGTGTGAATGCTTATTTCGATCTGTCCGATAAACAAAACAAAACAAACTATTATAAAAGTAGAACCAAAAAACAAAACAAAAAAAAAACAAACAAAAAAAACAAAAAAAAAGTAGTAGTAGTAGTAGTAGTAGTAGTAGTAGTAGTAGTAGTAGTAGTAGTAGTAGTAGTAGTAGTAGTAGTAGTAGTAGTAGTAGTAGTAGTAGTAGTAGTAGTAGTAGTAGTAGTAGTAGTAGTAGTAGTAGTAGTAGTAGTAGTAGTAGTAGTAGTAGTAGTAGTAGTAGTAGTAGTAGTAGTAGTAGTAGTAGTAGTAGTAGTAGTAGTAGTAGTAGTAGTAGTAGTAGTAGTAGTAGTAGTAGTAGTAGTAGTAGTAGTAGTAGTAGTAGTAGTAGTAGTAGTAGTAGTAGTAGTAGTAGTAGTAGTAGTAGTAGTAGTAGTAGTAGTAGTAGTAGTAGTAGTAGTAGTAGTAGTAGTAGTAGTAGTAGTAGTAGTAGTAGTAGTAGTAGTAGTAGTAGTAGTAGTAGTAGTAGTAGTAGTAGTAGTAGTAGTAGTAGTAGTAGTAGTAGTAGTAGTAGTAGTAGTAGTAGTAGTAGTAGTAGTAGTAGTAGTAGTAGTAGTAGTAGTAGTAGTAGTAGTAGTAGTAGTAGTAGTAGTAGTAGTAGTAGTAGTAGTAGTAGTAGTAGTAGTAGTAGTAGTAGTAGTAGTAGTAGTAGTAGTAGTAGTAGTAGTAGTAGTAGTAGTAGTAGTAGTAGTAGTAGTAGTAGTAGTAGTAGTAGTAGTAGTAGTAGTAGTAGTAGTAGTAGTAGTAGTAGTAGTAGTAGTAGTAGTAGTAGTAGTAGTAGTAGTAGTAGTAGTAGTAGTAGTAGTAGTAGTAGTAGTAGTAGTAGTAGTAGTAGTAGTAGTAGTAGTAGTAGTAGTAGTAGTAGTAGTAGTAGTAGTAGTAGTAGTAGTAGTAGTAGTAGTAGTAGTAGTAGTAGTAGTAGTAGTAGTAGTAGTAGTAGTAGTAGTAGTAGTAGTAGTAGTAGTAGTAGTAGTAGTAGTAGTAGTAGTAGTAGTAGTAGTAGTAGTAGTAGTAGTAGTAGTAGTAGTAGTAGTAGTAGTAGTAGTAGTAGTAGTAGTAGTAGTAGTAGTAGTAGTAGTAGTAGTAGTAGTAGTAGTAGTAGTAGTAGTAGTAGTAGTAGTAGTAGTAGTAGTAGTAGTAGTAGTAGTAGTAGTAGTAGTAGTAGTAGTAGTAGTAGTAGTAGTAGTAGTAGTAGTAGTAGTAGTAGTAGTAGTAGTAGTAGTAGTAGTAGTAGTAGTAGTAGTAGTAGTAGTAGTAGTAGTAGTAGTAGTAGTAGTAGTAGTAGTAGTAGTAGTAGTAGTAGTAGTAGTAGTAGTAGTAGTAGTAGTAGTAGTAGTAGTAGTAGTAGTAGTAGTAGTAGTAGTAGTAGTAGTAGTAGTAGTAGTAGTAGTAGTAGTAGTAGTAGTAGTAGTAGTAGTAGTAGTAGTAGTAGTAGTAGTAGTAGTAGTAGTAGTAGTAGTAGTAGTAGTAGTAGTAGTAGTAGTAGTAGTAGTAGTAGTAGTAGTAGTAGTAGTAGTAGTAGTAGTAGTAGTAGTAGTAGTAGTAGTAGTAGTAGTAGTAGTAGTAGTAGTAGTAGTAGTAGTAGTAGTAGTAGTAGTAGTAGTAGTAGTAGTAGTAGTAGTAGTAGTAGTAGTAGTAGTAGTAGTAGTAGTAGTAGTAGTAGTAGTAGTAGTAGTAGTAGTAGTAGTAGTAGTAGTAGTAGTAGTAGTAGTAGTAGTAGTAGTAGTAGTAGTAGTAGTAGTAGTAGTAGTAGTAGTAGTAGTAGTAGTAGTAGTAGTAGTAGTAGTAGTAGTAGTAGTAGTAGTAGTAGTAGTAGTAGTAGTAGTAGTAGTAGTAGTAGTAGTAGTAGTAGTAGTAGTAGTAGTAGTAGTAGTAGTAGTAGTAGTAGTAGTAGTAGTAGTAGTAGTAGTAGTAGTAGTAGTAGTAGTAGTAGTAGTAGTAGTAGTAGTAGTAGTAGTAGTAGTAGTAGTAGTAGTAGTAGTAGTAGTAGTAGTAGTAGTAGTAGTAGTAGTAGTAGTAGTAGTAGTAGTAGTAGTAGTAGTAGTAGTAGTAGTAGTAGTAGTAGTAGTAGTAGTAGTAGTAGTAGTAGTAGTAGTAGTAGTAGTAGTAGTAGTAGTAGTAGTAGTAGTAGTAGTAGTAGTAGTAGTAGTAGTAGTAGTAGTAGTAGTAGTAGTAGTAGTAGTAGTAGTAGGTAGTAGTAGTAGTAGTAGTAGTAGTAGTAGTAGTAGTAGTAGTAGTAGTAGTAGTAGTAGTAGTAGTAGTAGTAGTAGTAGTAGTAGTAGTAGTAGTAGTAGTAGTAGTAGTAGTAGTAGTAGTAGTAGTAGTAGTAGTAGTAGTAGTAGTAGTAGTAGTAGTAGTAGTAGTAGTAGTAGTAGTAGTAGTAGTAGTAGTAGTAGTAGTAGTAGTAGTAGTAGTAGTAGTAGTAGTAGTAGTAGTGCAGTAGTAGTAGTAGTAGTAGTAGTAGTAGTAGTAGTAGTAGTAGTAGTAGTAGTAGTAGTAGTAGTAGTAGTAGTAGTAGTAGTAGTAGTAGTAGTAGTAGTAGTAGTAGTAGTAGTAGTAGTAGTAGTAGTAGTAGTAGTAGTAGTAGTAGTAGTAGTAGTAGTAGTAGTAGTAGTAGTAGTAGTAGTAGTAGTTAGTAGTAGTAGTAGTAGTAGTAGTAGTAGTAGTAGTAGTAGTAGTAGTAGTAGTAGTAGTAGTAGTAGTAGTAGTAGTAGTAGTAGTAGTAGTAGTAGTAGTAGTAGTAGTAGTAGTAGTAGTAGTAGTAGTAGTAGTAGTAGTAGTAGTAGTAGTAGTAGTAGTAGTAGTAGTAGTAGTAGTAGTAGTAGTAGTAGTAGTAGTAGTAGTAGTAGTAGTAGTAGGTAGTGGTAGTGGTAGTGGTAGTGGTAGTTAGTGGTAGTGGTAGTGGTAGTGGTAGTGGTAGTGGTAGTGGTAGTGGTAGTGGTAGTGGTAGTGGTAGTGGTAGTGGTAGTGGTAGTGGTAGTGGTAGTGGTAGTGGTAGTGGTAGTGGTAGTGGTAGTGGTAGTGGTAGTGGTAGTGGTAGTGGTAGTGGTAGTGGTAGTGGTAGTGGTAGTGGTAGTGGTAGTGGTAGTGGTAGTGGTAGTGGTAGTGGTAGTGGTAGTGGTAGTGGTAGTGGTAGTGGTAGTGGTAGTGGTAGTGGTAGTGGTAGTGGTAGTGGTAGTGGTAGTGGTAGTGGTAGTGGTAGTGGTAGTGGTAGTGGTAGTGGTAGTGGTAGTGGTAGTGGTAGTGGTAGTGGTAGTGGTAGTGGTAGTGGTAGTGGTAGTGGTAGTGGTAGTGGTAGTGGTAGTGGTAGTGGTAGTGGTAGTGGTAGTGGTAGTGGTAGTGGTAGTGGTAGTGGTAGTGGTAGTGGTAGTGGTAGTGGTAGTGGTAGTGGTAGTGGTAGTGGTAGTGGTAGTGGTAGTGGTAGTGGTAGTGGTAGTGGTAGTGGTAGTGGTAGTGGTAGTGGTAGTGGTAGTGGTAGTGGTAGTGGTAGTGGTAGTGGTAGTGGTAGTGGTAGTAGTAGTAGTAGTAGTAGTAGTAGTAGTAGTAGTAGTAGTAGTAGTAGTAGTAGTAGTAGTAGTAGTAGTAGTAGTAGTAGTAGTAGTAGTAGTAGTAGTAGTATTGATCAATACGTACAGGGAACCTGCGCATCTATACATCGATGGTGAGTGCATTCTTTCAGAAGAAGGCACGACGCAGGGTGATCCACTCGCCATGCATATGTATGCGTTGGGCATGCTACCCCTGATCCGTGCAGCAGCTGGCGAGGAGACAGTGCAGTCCTGGTTCGCAGATGATCCCTCTGCAGCGGGCCGTTTGAATCGGGTACGTCAGTGGTGGGATGTCCTGACGGTGCAGGGACCGGCATACGGCTACGTTGTGAACCCAGCTAAGTCTGTTCTTGTGGTGAAGGAACATTGCCTTGTTGAGGCGAGGGATCTCTTCAAAGACACCGGAGTAGCTATCACGACTGAGGGAGTACGCTACCTCGGTGCTGCAGTGGGCACTGAGGCTTACAAGGAGACCTATATTCAACGAAAGGTAGAGACCTGGGTGCAAGAGGTCAATCGGCTGGCAACTATTGCACAGACTCAGCCCCAGGCAGCCTACTCAGCATTTGTATCAGGACTGAGAGGGAAATGGACCTTTCTATGCAGAACCATGGACATCCCCGAGCACCTGCTGGAGCCACTTGAAGGTGCCATTAGAACTAAACTGATTCCAGCGTTGACCTGCCGCTCACCTCCTGGTGGGGATCTCCGGCGCGTGTTCGCTCTCCCGTGTCGTTTGGGCGGCTTGGGTATCACGAGCCCTATGTCCTTGTGTGGGCAATACAACTCGTCAGTTCGCATTACCGAGTCTCTCGCCAGCAGGATTCTGTCTGGTGACACTGCACTTGACGATTGCGTAACTAAGATGCGCAAGATGAAGGCAGAAGTCAAGGCAGAGTCCCGTCAAGCGCAGGCAGCGGCAATGGAGGAGGTGGTCCAGAATGCATCCGCGAGTCTGCGTAATGTCATCGATATCGCTAGAGAGAAGGGTTCATCTAGCTGGTTAACATGTCGTCCGCTGAAGAAGTACGGTTTCAGCCTCACGAAGCAGGAGTTCTGGGACGGCCTGTGTCTCCGCTATGGATGGACGCCGGCGAGAATACCGACTCATTGTTCATGTGGCCAAGAGGTGAGCGTTTCTCACTCACTATCCTGTCCTCATGGAGGATTTCCCACCATACGACACAATGCCATTCGTGACACTACCGCACAGCTCCTACACCAAGTCTGTAGCAATGTGTCCACGGAGCCTACGCTGCAGCCACTGACCGGTGAGCGATTGCAATACCGAACGGCCAACGTGGAGGATCATGCACGCCTTGATGTCGCTGCCAGTGGTTTGTGGGGCAGTCGATTTGAGCGAACCCTTATTGATGTCCGGGTTTTTAATCCTTATGCTCGCTCAAATCAGTCTGCACCACGTACCACTGTGTATCATCGACATGAAAGAGAGAAACGAAGGCACTACGAAGAGAGAGTGAGACAAGTGGAGCATGCCACTTTTGTTCCGGCTGTGATGTCTGCGAGTGGAGGCATGGGCAAGGCAGCAACGGCCCTCTACAAACGAGTGGCCTCTCTGTTGGCGGCGAAAAGAGGGGAGCAGTATTCTCATGTGATGGCTTTCGTCAGGTGCAGGATCGCTTTTTCCCTCTTGCGGTCCTGCATCATGTGCCTCCGTGGGTGCAGAAGGCTCTCTAGCCAGCCTGCCTTGGCTGTGGGTGATACCTCTGCTGCACTGGCAGTGGTGGAGGCCCGGGTACCGGCTTAGCGTGCACGAGCGGTAACAGTGACTGGAATATTGACTTGAAGTTGAACTTGCTGCTGTTTACCTAAGTAGGTATACATTATTATGCTGTTTTTTTGCGTGTTTTTTCGTTTTTTTCTTTTCTTTCTAGAACTTTGAGTTGAAGTTTTTGGAACACTTGGGAAAAAATATTCATTGTGTTTATTTTGCCCGTAAAAGAGGCTGTTGTAGTAGTAGTAGTAGTAGTAGTAGTAGTAGTAGTAGTAGTAGTAGTAGTAGTAGTAGTAGTAGTAGTAGTAGTAGTAGTAGTAGTAGTAGTAGTAGTAGTAGTAGTAGTAGTAGTAGTAGTAGTAGTAGTAGTAGTAGTAGTAGTAGTAGTAGTAGTAGTAGTAGTAGTAGTAGTAGTAGTAGTAGTAGTAGTAGTAGTAGTAGTAGTAGTAGTAGTAGTAGTAGTAGTAGTAGTAGTAGTAGTAGTAGTAGTAGTAGTAGTAGTAGTAGTAGTAGTAGTAGTAGTAGTAGTAGTAGTAGTAGTAGTAGTAGTAGTAGTAGTAGTAGTAGTAGTAGTAGTAGTAGTAGTAGTAGTAGTAGTAGTAGTAGTAGTAGTAGTAGTAGTAGTAGTAGTAGTAGTAGTAGTAGTAGTAGTAGTAGTAGTAGTAGTAGTAGTAGTAGTAGTAGTAGTAGTAGTAGTAGTAGTAGTAGTAGTAGTAGTAGTAGTAGTAGTAGTAGTAGTAGTAGTAGTAGTAGTAGTAGTAGTAGTAGTAGTAGTAGTAGTAGTAGTAGTAGTAGTAGTAGTAGTAGTAGTAGTAGTAGTAGTAGTAGTAGTAGTAGTAGTAGTAGTAGTAGTAGTAGTAGTAGTAGTAGTAGTAGTAGTAGTAGTAGTAGTAGTAGTAGTAGTAGTAGTAGTAGTAGTAGTAGTAGTAGTAGTAGTAGTAGTAGTAGTAGTAGTAGTAGTAGTAGTAGTAGTAGTAGTAGTAGTAGTAGTAGTAGTAGTAGTAGTAGTAGTAGTAGTAGTAGTAGTAGTAGTAGTAGTAGTAGTAGTAGTAGTAGTAGTAGTAGTAGTAGTAGTAGTAGTAGTAGTAGTAGTAGTAGTAGTAGTAGTAGTAGTAGTAGTAGTAGTAGTAGTAGTAGTAGTAGTAGTAGTAGTAGTAGTAGTAGTAGTAGTAGTAGTAGTAGTAGTAGTAGTAGTAGTAGTAGTAGTAGTAGTAGTAGTAGTAGTAGTAGTAGTAGTAGTAGTAGTAGTAGTAGTAGTAGTAGTAGTAGTAGTAGTAGTAGTAGTAGTAGTAGTAGTAGTAGTAGTAGTAGTAGTAGTAGTAGTAGTAGTAGTAGTAGTAGTAGTAGTAGTAGTAGTAGTAGTAGTAGTAGTAGTAGTAGTAGTAGTAGTAGTAGTAGTAGTAGTAGTAGTAGTAGTAGTAGTAGTAGTAGTAGTAGTAGTAGTAGTAGTAGTAGTAGTAGTAGTAGTAGTAGTAGTAGTAGTAGTAGTAGTAGTAGTAGTAGTAGTAGTAGTAGTAGTAGTAGTAGTAGTAGTAGTAGTAGTAGTAGTAGTAGTAGTAGTAGTAGTAGTAGTAGTAGTAGTAGTAGTAGTAGTAGTAGTAGTAGTAGTAGTAGTAGTAGTAGTAGTAGTAGTAGTAGTAGTAGTAGTAGTAGTAGTAGTAGTAGTAGTAGTAGTAGTAGTAGTAGTAGTAGTAGTAGTAGTAGTAGTAGTAGTAGTAGTAGTAGTAGTAGTAGTAGTAGTAGTAGTAGTAGTAGTAGTAGTAGTAGTAGTAGTAGTAGTAGTAGTAGTAGTAGTAGTAGTAGTAGTAGTAGTAGTAGTAGTAGTAGTAGTAGTAGTAGTAGTAGTAGTAGTAGTAGTAGTAGTAGTAGTAGTAGTAGTAGTAGTAGTAGTAGTAGTAGTAGTAGTAGTAGTAGTAGTAGTAGTAGTAGTAGTAGTAGTAGTAGTAGTAGTAGTAGTAGTAGTAGTAGTAGTAGTAGTAGTAGTAGTAGTAGTAGTAGTAGTAGTAGTAGTAGTAGTAGTAGTAGTAGTAGTAGTAGTAGTAGTAGTAGTAGTAGTAGTAGTAGTAGTAGTAGTAGTAGTAGTAGTAGTAGTAGTAGTAGTAGTAGTAGTAGTAGTAGTAGTAGTAGTAGTAGTAGTAGTAGTAGTAGTAGTAGTAGTAGTAGTAGTAGTAGTAGTAGTAGTAGTAGTAGTAGTAGTAGTAGTAGTAGTAGTAGTAGTAGTAGTAGTAGTAGTAGTAGTAGTAGTAGTAGTAGTAGTAGTAGTAGTAGTAGTAGTAGTAGTAGTAGTAGTAGTAGTAGTAGTAGTAGTAGTAGTAGTAGTAGTAGTAGTAGTAGTAGTAGTAGTAGTAGTAGTAGTAGTAGTAGTAGTAGTAGTAGTAGTAGTAGTAGTAGTAGTAGTAGTAGTAGTAGTAGTAGTAGTAGTAGTAGTAGTAGTAGTAGTAGTAGTAGTAGTAGTAGTAGTAGTAGTAGTAGTAGTAGTAGTAGTAGTAGTAGTAGTAGTAGTAGTAGTAGTAGTAGTAGTAGTAGTAGTAGTAGTAGTAGTAGTAGTAGTAGTAGTAGTAGTAGTAGTAGTAGTAGTAGTAGTAGTAGTAGTAGTAGTAGTAGTAGTAGTAGTAGTAGTAGTAGTAGTAGTAGTAGTAGTAGTAGTAGTAGTAGTAGTAGTAGTAGTAGTAGTAGTAGTAGTAGTAGTAGTAGTAGTAGTAGTAGTAGTAGTAGTAGTAGTAGTAGTAGTAGTAGTAGTAGTAGTAGTAGTAGTAGTAGTAGTAGTAGTAGTAGTAGTAGTAGTAGTAGTAGTAGTAGTAGTAGTAGTAGTAGTAGTAGTAGTAGTAGTAGTAGTAGTAGTAGTAGTAGTAGTAGTAGTAGTAGTAGTAGTAGTAGTAGTAGTAGTAGTAGTAGTAGTAGTAGTAGTAGTAGTAGTAGTAGTAGTAGTAGTAGTAGTAGTAGTAGTAGTAGTAGTAGTAGTAGTAGTAGTAGTAGTAGTAGTAGTAGTAGTAGTAGTAGTAGTAGTAGTAGTAGTAGTAGTAGTAGTAGTAGTAGTAGTAGTAGTAGTAGTAGTAGTAGTAGTAGTAGTAGTAGTAGTAGTAGTAGTAGTAGTAGTAGTAGTAGTAGTAGTAGTAGTAGTAGTAGTAGTAGTAGTAGTAGTAGTAGTAGTAGTAGTAGTAGTAGTAGTAGTAGTAGTAGTAGTAGTAGTAGTAGTAGTAGTAGTAGTAGTAGTAGTAGTAGTAGTAGTAGTAGTAGTAGTAGTAGTAGTAGTAGTAGTAGTAGTAGTAGTAGTAGTAGTAGTAGTAGTAGTAGTAGTAGTAGTAGTAGTAGTAGTAGTAGTAGTAGTAGTAGTAGTAGTAGTAGTAGTAGTAGTAGTAGTAGTAGTAGTAGTAGTAGTAGTAGTAGTAGTAGTAGTAGTAGTAGTAGTAGTAGTAGTAGTAGTAGTAGTAGTAGTAGTAGTAGTAGTAGTAGTAGTAGTAGTAGTAGTAGTAGTAGTAGTAGTAGTAGTAGTAGTAGTAGTAGTAGTAGTAGTAGTAGTAGTAGTAGTAGTAGTAGTAGTAGTAGTAGTAGTAGTAGTAGTAGTAGTAGTAGTAGTAGTAGTAGTAGTAGTAGTAGTAGTAGTAGTAGTAGTAGTAGTAGTAGTAGTAGTAGTAGTAGTAGTAGTAGTAGTAGTAGTAGTAGTAGTAGTAGTAGTAGTAGTAGTAGTAGTAGTAGTAGTAGTAGTAGTAGTAGTAGTAGTAGTAGTAGTAGTAGTAGTAGTAGTAGTAGTAGTAGTAGTAGTAGTAGTAGTAGTAGTAGTAGTAGTAGTAGTAGTAGTAGTAGTAGTAGTAGTAGTAGTAGTAGTAGTAGTAGTAGTAGTAGTAGTAGTAGTAGTAGTAGTAGTAGTAGTAGTAGTAGTAGTAGTAGTAGTAGTAGTAGTAGTAGTAGTAGTAGTAGTAGTAGTAGTAGTAGTAGTAGTAGTAGTAGTAGTAGTAGTAGTAGTAGTAGTAACAAGGCCTCTTTTACGGGCAAATGACGCATATGCGTAAACCAAAAGCAACAAGAAACTCAATAAACAATGTCCAACAAAAGAATCTGCTGACTGCAAAAAAGGACACAAGGTAAAACTCAAGTCCAATAGATCGCGTATGGTACGTATGTGTGAACAAACCAAAAGCCGATTGAGTGGTGAATGTGGAATGTGTAAGTTGAAAACTCGAGTCTGATAAATAGCCTATTGGGGGTATATGTGTAAAAACATCTTAAACCAATAGGGTGGTGGATGTATAATTTGTCTGCGTGTGAATGCTTATTTCGATCTGTCCGATAAACAAAACAAAACAAACTATTATAAAAGTAGAACCAAAAAACAAAACAAAAAAAAAACAAACAAAAAAAAACAAAAAAAAAGTAGTAGTAGTAGTAGTAGTAGTAGTAGTAGTAGTAGTAGTAGTAGTAGTAGTAGTAGTAGTAGTAGTAGTAGTAGTAGTAGTAGTAGTAGTAGTAGTAGTAGTAGTAGTAGTAGTAGTAGTAGTAGTAGTAGTAGTAGTAGTAGTAGTAGTAGTAGTAGTAGTAGTAGTAGTAGTAGTAGTAGTAGTAGTAGTAGTAGTAGTAGTAGTAGTAGTAGTAGTAGTAGTAGTAGTAGTAGTAGTAGTAGTAGTAGTAGTAGTAGTAGTAGTAGTAGTAGTAGTAGTAGTAGTAGTAGTAGTAGTAGTAGTAGTAGTAGTAGTAGTAGTAGTAGTAGTAGTAGTAGTAGTAGTAGTAGTAGTAGTAGTAGTAGTAGTAGTAGTAGTAGTAGTAGTAGTAGTAGTAGTAGTAGTAGTAGTAGTAGTAGTAGTAGTAGTAGTAGTAGTAGTAGTAGTAGTAGTAGTAGTAGTAGTAGTAGTAGTAGTAGTAGTAGTAGTAGTAGTAGTAGTAGTAGTAGTAGTAGTAGTAGTAGTAGTAGTAGTAGTAGTAGTAGTAGTAGTAGTAGTAGTAGTAGTAGTAGTAGTAGTAGTAGTAGTAGTAGTAGTAGTAGTAGTAGTAGTAGTAGTAGTAGTAGTAGTAGTAGTAGTAGTAGTAGTAGTAGTAGTAGTAGTAGTAGTAGTAGTAGTAGTAGTAGTAGTAGTAGTAGTAGTAGTAGTAGTAGTAGTAGTAGTAGTAGTAGTAGTAGTAGTAGTAGTAGTAGTAGTAGTAGTAGTAGTAGTAGTAGTAGTAGTAGTAGTAGTAGTAGTAGTAGTAGTAGTAGTAGTAGTAGTAGTAGTAGTAGTAGTAGTAGTAGTAGTAGTAGTAGTCAAAGAACTTTATTGAAAATCCATGATAATGTGATCGGAAAGATGATTGAAGAAAAAATCCAAACTCGAGTCAAATCCGGGCAAATATTAGCAGTCACTACTATCAAAGCAGATCACTATTCACAATAGCGCAACTTGGAAAGCCGGCCAAAAAGGAAGATATTGAAATTAACCGAAGGCTTCCGTGCACAGCACATGGAGGACCTTATAATTATATTCCCACTCACAACTGGAGCAAACGGCATTGGTCCAGGAATGAAATTGCTACACGCTTTCGGCAGTATGAAGCTCTGCACCCACGAAAGCAAGTAATCAGCCAGCGGAGCAAAGTAAAAGAGATCCTGCAGCGCAAATGCGACATTACTATTGCATAACTAAGCTCTGGCTGCTTCTCGACAATGAGCTGAACAATGTTCTTTAGAGCACGGGAACATTCGGAAGCGCACATACCATTGGTCGCGAAAACCAAAGGTGTGAAGGTGCCTCGCTCAACATCAACATCAATCACACGTTGTAGATAGGCCCGTTTCTTCTGTGCTTCGTTACGAGACAACTGGGCAAGTACATCCGATCTCGACAGCAAGGACGCCGAGGGGTGGGTGACCCTCACATCAAAAAATGCATCTTGCTGTCGAGACCAGAAGCCCCTTGCACAAATGTCCAAACGAGCCTCAGGAGAACGATTGGCAGTGGCACAATCCAATGACTCACCAGTCAAAGGCAGCAACGTAGGCTCTATCCTTACATCAGAAATGACAGCCGAAAACACCTCCGCCAACAGGTCCCGGATCTCATTATGGCGTAGACTTGGGTAGCCCCCTGTTGGACATACTGCAGCGTGATCAAGCGTCATGGCCGCTCCACATACGCAGGATGATGGTAATTCATCAAGTGGCCAGCCGTAACGAATTGCCACTGCATCACGAAAGTCGGACTTGTTCAAGACGAATCCACAGGAGGCAAGCGGCTCCGCCGTAAGCCAACTTCCCACACCGGCATCTCTGGAGGTTTCCAGCAGAACACGCTGAGGGCCACTTAGGGCAGGGGCCAGCTCTGACAGCTGGGTCCTATGCATATCAGCACGTTGATTGTTTTGATGTCTCCGGAGAACGCTGGTGTCGGAAACAACCCGAGCCGGCGTCAACTCATTGGACCCCGACCGCAGCATTCGCACGACGGGCCCAGTGACAACTTCACTTATCCGGCGCTGCACCTCTGCGTCCTCCGACACCACAGGAATAGCGAGGCCCAGTGACAACTTCACTTATCCGGCGCTGCACCTCTGCGTCCTCCGACACCACAGGAATAGCGAGGCCACCATATCGCACTGGTAATGCCAGCAGCTTCCGCTCCGAATCAGAAACCTCCGTCCGGCCAGTTAAGGTAGGGATATATTTATTATTTATGACATCATCCAGTGGTCTGTACGAAGAAGCCGACCCTGGATGACTTCGGATGTGATAATTCCACTTGCTCTTCATACCACGGACAAATGCGGAATATGCGGCGTGGGGCTGTGTAAGCGAGATGTCAGCCAAGAGGCTCATCTCCCGCACCCAACTCGCAATGTGGCTATCGAGATTATCGGCAATGAACGTCGACTGGCCAACAGCACCTCCCAGGTACCTCGCTCCACCGGTTCGTATTGCAATACCAGTGGCATCGAACATGTCAACGGCCGCCCGCTCAAAATCCGGCTTGACAAGGAGTGTCGTCTTTGAGGCATTGGGGAAATAACCATACTCCGGTCCAATGTCAGACAAAGCCAACCAAAACTTGTGCACGTCCATCATCCTTCCACCAGCCTCGCCGTCATCCGCATACCAGCACTGGCCAATAGATGGGTGGTCACTTGACAGGCGTCTGATCATAGGGCTAATAGCCAGCGCAAACAGTGCCATGGCCAAAGGATCGCCCTGGCAAGTACCCTCTCGAGACAAGATCCTGTCACCACCCGGCAGAAACAACGATATTGGAGCGCCATATGTGTTTTGGAAGATTGTGGATACGGCAGGACACACCCGAGGAACGTTATGAAGCGCTGCCTGTCTGTTAACAGCATTAAATGCATTAGACGCATCTATGAACAAAATGGCCTCTGTTTCCGGATCCAAATACTGGCTCTGCACAGCAAGGACCGCAGCCTCACACGCAGATGGCATGCCCACACAAACCTGAAATGGGGCTACAGCCGCAACAACATCAGTGGAGACGCAGTCCAATATAGCTTTAGCGATAATACGGCGGTGTACTTCACCAACAGCTATCGGTCTCACACCTATACTGGAAGTAGCGCCAGCAGCATCACCAGCAGACTTCTCCAAGGGAACAAGGCGAGCTGCCACGAACGCTGACAGAATCTGAGGATCGACAACCTCCTGCAGAGTCGCTTCGCTGCGGCAGCCAACGCCGATGCAAGGTTCGCCGATGCTCCCTTGAACACAGTGAGCATTCTCTGCCAGGCAGCGACATCCAGTCCCGATGGACCCCCTGACCCAGTTGCAAACATCTGGTTAGGAGATCTGGTTAGGGAAGACACAGGTTCAGTCCAACAATATTCCCTCGGGCTGGATGCACAGGCAGGGTGCTTCTTTTGAAGCACGTCACGGACCGTCTCACCCGAGGATTGCACCGCAATATCATCAGTAGTAGTAGTAGTAGTAGTAGTAGTAGTAGTAGTAGTAGTAGTAGTAGTAGTAGTAGTAGTAGTAGTAGTAGTAGTAGTAGTAGTAGTAGTAGTAGTAGTAGTAGTAGTAGTAGTAGTAGTAGTAGTAGTAGTAGTAGTAGTAGTAGTAGTAGTAGTAGTAGTAGTAGTAGTAGTAGTAGTAGTAGTAGTAGTAGTAGTAGTAGTAGTAGTAGTAGTAGTAGTAGTAGTAGTAGTAGTAGTAGTAGTAGTAGTAGTAGTAGTAGTAGTAGTAGTAGTAGTAGTAGTAGTAGTAGTAGTAGTAGTAGTAGTAGTAGTAGTAGTAGTAGTAGTAGTAGTAGTAGTAGTAGTAGTAGTAGTAGTAGTAGTAGTAGTAGTAGTAGTAGTAGTAGTAGTAGTAGTAGTAGTAGTAGTAGTAGTAGTAGTAGTAGTAGTAGTAGTAGTAGTAGTAGTAGTAGTAGTAGTAGTAGTAGTAGTAGTAGTAGTAGTAGTAGTAGTAGTAGTAGTAGTAGTAGTAGTAGTAGTAGTAGTAGTAGTAGTAGTAGTAGTAGTAGTAGTAGTAGTAGTAGTAGTAGTAGTAGTAGTAGTAGTAGTAGTAGTAGTAGTAGTAGTAGTAGTAGTAGTAGTAGTAGTAGTAGTAGTAGTAGTAGTAGTAGTAGTAGTAGTAGTAGTAGTAGTAGTAGTAGTAGTAGTAGTAGTAGTAGTAGTAGTAGTAGTAGTAGTAGTAGTAGTAGTAGTAGTAGTAGTAGTAGTAGTAGTAGTAGTAGTAGTAGTAGTAGTAGTAGTAGTAGTAGTAGTAGTAGTAGTAGTAGTAGTAGTAGTAGTAGTAGTAGTAGTAGTAGTAGTAGTAGTAGTAGTAGTAGTAGTAGTAGTAGTAGTAGTAGTAGTAGTAGTAGTAGTAGTAGTAGTAGTAGTAGTAGTAGTAGTAGTAGTAGTAGTAGTAGTAGTAGTAGTAGTAGTAGTAGTAGTAGTAGTAGTAGTAGTAGTAGTAGTAGTAGTAGTAGTAGTAGTAGTAGTAGTAGTAGTAGTAGTAGTAGTAGTAGTAGTAGTAGTAGTAGTAGTAGTAGTAGTAGTAGTAGTAGTAGTAGTAGTAGTAGTAGTAGTAGTAGTAGTAGTAGTAGTAGTAGTAGTAGTAGTAGTAGTAGTAGTTGTGTAGTAGTAGAGTAGTAGTAGTAGTAGTAGTAGTAGTAGTAGTAGTAGTAGTAGTAGTAGTAGTAGTAGTAGTAGTAGTAGTAGTAGAGTAGTAGTAGTAGTAGTAGTAGTAGTAGTAGTAGTAGTAGTAGTAGTAGTAGTAGTAGTAGTAGTAGTGTAGTGTAGTAGTAGTGGTAGTGGTAGTAGTGGTAGTGGTAGTGGTAGTGGTAGTGGTAGTGGTAGTGGTAGTGGTAGTGGTAGTGGTAGTGGTAGTGGTAGTGGTAGTGGTAGTGGTAGTGGTAGTGGTAGTGGTAGTGGTAGTGGTAGTGGTAGTGGTAGTGGTAGTGGTAGTGGAGTGGTAGTGGTAGTGGTAGTGGTAGTGGTAGTGGTAGTGGTAGTGGTAGTGGTAGTGGTAGTGGTAGTGGTAGTGGTAGTGGTAGTGGTAGTGGTAGTGGTAGTGGTAGTGGTAGTGGTAGTGGTAGTGGTAGTGGTAGTGGTAGTGGTAGTAGTAGTAGTAGTAGTAGTAGTAGTAGTAGTAGTAGTAGTAGTAGTAGTAGTAGTAGTAGTAGTAGTAGTAGTAGTAGTAGTAGTAGTAGTAGTAGTAGTAGTAGTAGTAGTAGTAGTAGTAGTAGTAGTAGTAGTAGTAGTATTGATCAATACGTACAGGGAACCTGCGCATCTATACATCGATGGTGAGTGCATTCTTTCAGAAGAAGGCACGACGCAGGGTGATCCACTCGCCATGCATATGTATGCGTTGGGCATGCTACCCCTGATCCGTGCAGCAGCTGGCGAGGAGACAGTGCAGTCCTGGTTCGCAGATGATCCCTCTGCAGCGGGCCGTTTGAATCGGGTACGTCAGTGGTGGGATGTCCTGACGGTGCAGGGACCGGCATACGGCTACGTTGTGAACCCAGCTAAGTCTGTTCTTGTGGTGAAGGAACATTGCCTTGGTGAGGCGAGGGATCTCTTCAAAGACACCGGAGTAGCTATCACGACTGAGGGAGTACGCTACCTCGGTGCTGCAGTGGGCACTGAGGCTTACAAGGAGACCTATATTCAACGAAAGGTAGAGACCTGGGTGCAAGAGGTCAATCGGCTGGCAACTATTGCACAGACTCAGCCCCAGGCAGCCTACTCAGCATTTGTATCAGGACTGAGAGGGAAATGGACCTTTCTATGCAGAACCATGGACATCCCCGAGCACCTGCTGGAGCCACTTGAAGGTGCCATTAGAACTAAACTGATTCCAGCGTTGACCTGCCGCTCACCTCCTGGTGGGGATCTCCGGCGCGTGTTCGCTCTCCCGTGTCGTTTGGGCGGCTTGGGTATCACGAGCCCTATGTCCTTGTGTGGGCAATACAACTCGTCAGTTCGCATTACCGAGTCTCTCGCCAGCAGGATTCTGTCTGGTGACACTGCACTTGACGATTGCGTAACTAAGATGCGCAAGATGAAGGCAGAAGTCAAGGCAGAGTCCCGTCAAGCGCAGGCAGCGGCAATGGAGGAGGTGGTCCAGAATGCATCCGCGAGTCTGCGTAATGTCATCGATATCGCTAGAGAGAAGGGTTCATCTAGCTGGTTAACATGTCGTCCGCTGAAGAAGTACGGTTTCAGCCTCACGAAGCAGGAGTTCTGGGACGGCCTGTGTCTCCGCTATGGATGGACGCCGGCGAGAATACCGACTCATTGTTCATGTGGCCAAGAGGTGAGCGTTTCTCACTCACTATCCTGTCCTCATGGAGGATTTCCCACCATACGACACAATGCCATTCGTGACACTACCGCACAGCTCCTACACCAAGTCTGTAGCAATGTGTCCACGGAGCCTACGCTGCAGCCACTGACCGGTGAGCGATTGCAATACCGAACGGCCAACGTGGAGGATCATGCACGCCTTGATGTCGCTGCCAGTGGTTTGTGGGGCAGTCGATTTGAGCGAACCCTTATTGATGTCCGGGTTTTTAATCCTTATGCTCGCTCAAATCAGTCTGCACCACGTACCACTGTGTATCATCGACATGAAAGAGAGAAACGAAGGCACTACGAAGAGAGAGTGAGACAAGTGGAGCATGCCACTTTTGTTCCGGCTGTGATGTCTGCGAGTGGAGGCATGGGCAAGGCAGCAACGGCCCTCTACAAACGAGTGGCCTCTCTGTTGGCGGCGAAAAGAGGGGAGCAGTATTCTCATGTGATGGCTTTCGTCAGGTGCAGGATCGCTTTTTCCCTCTTGCGGTCCTGCATCATGTGCCTCCGTGGGTGCAGAAGGCTCTCTAGCCAGCCTGCCTTGGCTGTGGGTGATACCTCTGCTGCACTGGCAGTGGTGGAGGCCCGGGTACCGGCTTAGCGTGCACGAGCGGTAACAGTGACTGGAATATTGACTTGAAGTTGAACTTGCTGCTGTTTACCTAAGTAGGTATACATTATTATGCTGTTTTTTTGCGTGTTTTTTCGTTTTTTTCTTTTCTTTCTAGAACTTTGAGTTGAAGTTTTTGGAACACTTGGGAAAAAATATTCATTGTGTTTATTTTGCCCGTAAAAGAGGCTGTTGTAGTAGTAGTAGTAGTAGTAGTAGTAGTAGTAGTAGTAGTAGTAGTAGTAGTAGTAGTAGTAGTAGTAGTAGTAGTAGTAGTAGTAGTAGTAGTAGTAGTAGTAGTAGTAGTAGTAGTAGTAGTAGTAGTAGTAGTAGTAGTAGTAGTAGTAGTAGTAGTAGTAGTAGTAGTAGTAGTAGTAGTAGTAGTAGTAGTAGTAGTAGTAGTAGTAGTAGTAGTAGTAGTAGTAGTAGTAGTAGTAGTAGTAGTAGTAGCAGTAGTAGTAGTAGTAGTAGTAGTAGTAGTAGTAGTAGTAGTAGTAGTAGTAGTAGTAGTAGTAGTAGTAGTAGTAGTAGTAGTAGTAGTAGTAGTAGTAGTAGTAGTAGTAGTAGTAGTAGTAGTAGTAGTAGTAGTAGTAGTAGTAGTAGTAGTAGTAGTAGTAGTAGTAGTAGTAGTAGTAGTAGTAGTAGTAGTAGTAGTAGTAGTAGTAGTAGTAGTAGTAGTAGTAGTAGTAGTAGTAGTAGTAGTAGTAGTAGTAGTAGTAGTAGTAGTAGTAGTAGTAGTAGTAGTAGTAGTAGTAGTAGTAGTAGTAGTAGTAGTAGTAGTAGTAGTAGTAGTAGTAGTAGTAGTAGTAGTAGTAGTAGTAGTAGTAGTAGTAGTAGTAGTAGTAGTAGTAGTAGTAGTAGTAGTAGTAGTAGTAGTAGTAGTAGTAGTAGTAGTAGTAGTAGTAGTAGTAGTAGTAGTAGTAGTAGTAGTAGTAGTAGTAGTAGTAGTAGTAGTAAAAGTAGTAGTAGTAGTAGTAGTAGTAGTAGTAGTAGTAGTAGTAGTAGTAGTAGTAGTAGTAGTAGTAGTAGTAGTAGTAGTAGTAGTAGTAGTAGTAGTAGTAGTAGTAGTAGTAGTAGTAGTAGTAGTAGTAGTAGTAGTAGTAGTAGT